AATGTTAATTAAGAATAAGATTTATTTCACACATCATTTTCCCGAGTTTCCTACGCCTCTTTATTGTCTTACCCTACTCGCACCTCATTTGTTTTCTCCCAGGCATCAAACATTTTACAATAACAATAAAAACTATATAAATTAGGATATATTTAAGAAATCAGCAGATAAGAATATAAAACAAATACAATATATAGTATTTTTAAATAGACAACTTTAAAACAATAAATCTACAGCTCTTTTTTTTCTATAAAAGTATTATTACATTTAGAAAAATTTCTTTTTAACAACTTTTTTACAACAACGTGATAGATTGTGATTAGTCCGTTTCAAATATACTAACCAATAAAATAGTAACGTATTGTAAAAATATTGTTAAAAAGTCATGTTCCCAATCTTATTAGATTCCAATTCAATTCAATATAGCCTTAATCTTGATTCACAAACCAAATAGTTTCCAACCAAGTAGAAAGAATAGAAATGCTCAAAGGTGACTTGATGATAGAAGTTGAAAGAAAGAATGAGAGATTGTGAATTGAACTCTCTGCTATTACTTGAAAGATATAAAATTAGTTTGATGAATTTGGAAAGAAAGATAAAAATATTATGGATTCAACTCTTGCCACTAGCAAAAATACTAACATTTTTCAATAAAAAAATTGGTAATAACCTAAACATTGATGGTATTTCAAATTATGGCAAGTGAAAAAGTTATATTCTTAAAACATAGAAAAGGCATGCCATTTTTAATTAAAACAAATGGAGTATGATTTCCAGTTGTAGTCCCACAAGTGTAAGTTCATAGCCATCTCACATTCATAATTTTTTTTCGAAGAACTGCATCCATGATAAGCATCCAACAAGGTTTTCTTAAAATTTGGAATGACTACCTTGATATCCAAACATTATATCAATATAAACAAGGTACTTGTTTGACTGACCCAAATGAGCAAATAATGGAATATACAAGGGAAAATGAGTTATATTCAGGCCCCGCCCAAATATATAACACTTTTAGACAAAAAAAAATGGAAAAATATGGCTTATTTTTCAGTACATGTGGATATCAACATTAATTTCTCCCAAGTGACGATTGCTTGGTTTCGCAGTAAAAGTATTGTGGTTAGTACCATATCGTAGCCAAAGGCAGGATATTCTCTGAAATGCCGCTTGTCCAGCAACTCTTACACGATATACAACACTTAAATCTGCCCATATTTCACTTGCCACAGTTCTCGATTCATTACTTGGGTTGTAACCTTCTAAATCTGACCCAGTTACCATGACAAAAGAGCTTTCATCAAATATCACAACATCTTGTGAATCTAGTGCCCCTTCAGAAGCCCTTACCAATAGATTGGTTGAAGGAGCATATCCAACTGCCCTCCTCACCATAATATGGTGGTAGTATTCTTGGACAACCTGAAATTTCACATGAAATTATATTGACGAGTAACAGTACTATTAATCATTTTTCAAAAAGAAAATTAAGTTTTCAGTCCAAAATCGTAGAAAATATACAGTTCTATTTCATGGTTTAATAGACCAACTTAACCAAAAGATGTTAGGTAAATTGAAGATATGAAGTCCTTAAATAACAATGACAGTGATTGAAAGATACACTAGACACTTACTTGCCACTGAGTGGAAGCTAGAAGCACCCTTGGTCGAATTGATTTCAAATAATCATATGCAGCATCAGGTGTCATCATTTTGTGGTGCACCTACAAGTTCAACAAATAAGAACAATGTTAGCCAGTGACAATACAAACGGATTTTCTTTTTATTTTGACCTTTTTCTACCCTCATTTTCAAGTTTTGAAACCAACCAGATAACAAATAACAATAGTTGTGCTGCGACCGCGTCCAGCTTTGCAATGCACATATGTAGTGCGTCCAGATATTGCATTTTCTTCATTAAAAAAGAAATGGAAAAGGTCAAAATAATTACAAACGATGTATTACCTTAATTATATATGAAGCGAAATTGTATGCCAAATTACTAACTGAGTTTTATAATTTCTAAACACAATCATTTTTTACCCCATTTTTTTCACTTGTAGGTGTCTCGTTTTTCAGTTCTTTTGGTTTTTTTGTGGAAGGAAGAAAGACTTCAAAATGCAGAAAGGGAATACAATATAAAAGAATAAGAAATGTTGAGCATGCAAATACTGAAATTAATTCATAATGCTCCCATTCTGTGGGTCACACTGCATGCAACATTTTACATATAACTTAAAATCAATAATCAATTTTGTCCCACATAAAGCAAGTAACATGAATATGCCACTGAAAGGCGAGAGATCATTATAGTTAATCATTTTTCATAATACTCACCATGTATGAAGTTCACAGCACGTCGTATGTCATGCAATGAAGGAGCAAAATAGTAATCTCTAGTAGGGATCACTAAGTGGTTAATTCCGTGAGTCTGTCAAGTTTAACAAGATGAAATTAAGAGAAAATTTTATACATAAAGTTTTGAAGTCACGAAGACACCAAAGATAAATAACCCATACAATTAAAATATAACACAATGTTGCACAAATAAGTATTGGACCCGAAATATCTTAAAGCACATTGCATAGTAGAACACAAAATGATTCACGGTAAAATTAATGTCACTTGTAAAAGTTTTATATTCTAAACTTACCATAAAAGCCAAGATACACGCACAAGCATCAAACTAAAAAAATGCTGTAGGTTAATAGTAACAACAATGTTGCCCCTAATTCAGAAGTTGCTTCAGGATTTAGTATCTTGTAAACCATTCCAAGTATACTTGGTTCATTTAACCATAATATGTGTTTTATTTCATAGTCAATGTCTGAAAACCTTTTGGAAATTGCAAAGACAACAAAGGAAATTAATCATCACCAAATTTCTATGACAACAAAACCCTATGAACTTAACTCTCAAATTTCACAAGTTACAACTTTATAACTCCATATCATTCAGATATAGAATCAAGTAGTCAAAAGGATTTAGCTACAAAGGTAGGTACTACTACACAATAATGAAAGTCAACCTTTAATTAATACCATAACCAGAAATAAAAAGACATATCAAACTCACATAATATAATGTTGTCGGAACCAAAGTTTCATATGACTCATTCAATGTGATGACCCCACGAACACCAAGCTTCTTTAAGTGTGGAACATCAATAGGAAATGGAACAGCACCTAACAATATGAACTGAAAATTAAGTGCATAAAATTTAGGATCAACATTGAGTCCCACAAATAACAAAAGACAACTTAATATAGAACCAACTTTTAAAATGTCATACAGTTAAAAGAAAAACGAGACACCTCTCGACGCCAAAGTACAATCATTTAATAGCTTCAGAGTTCACATTATAGATGCAATGAGTTAAGAAGAGTTTGTATATTAAACATATAATCTTGTAAACCACAATACCCCTTCTCCATATATGGTAATGTTACCACAAGATATGATTTCCAGTCCATAAGTTGCATCACCATCTCAATAAAACCATAACAAACAAAAAATGATCAAGCACGGTCGACATATTCAATCAATGTTAATAAAAAGGACAAAGTTTAGACTTTCCCTCTGTAAGTGGATAATCATATACACATTTATAAATTTGTCAAAGTGCATGTAAAACATTCAAAATTGATGACATAGGCAAACCTGAGAGCAAAGCAACTAAACTTTACATTATACATGACAAAACTCAAGCATAAGAATCACATAAAAGGCTTATTTAGTAAATTTTGAAAGAAAATGGAATAATATTTTAACCCACAAGTATTTTTCCTTCTACATACATTAAATTTCTTGGATTTCATGTTTTTGTGACATAACTAAATTGAAGAGGAAAACAAACAGACACAAAATAACGTAATATGATACAATACGTAGTTAAGCTCAGAAGTAGATATCATACCTCATCAACCTTATCCCACCACCGAAAATCAGCCTCAATCTTATTCCTGACAACATTGTAAAAAAGGGTTGGGTAGAATAGCACACGAGCACCTGCTCCAACCAACACCCTCTTTGCATCATAACCCAGAAGCGTCAACCCTCTTTCCTCCTCACCTTCTTCTATGTCACCCCCCTTCAATTCTTCTATATGCATAACTCACTTCTAAAAATTACAGGATATCTAGGTGGTAAAAAAAACCTAATTAACAAATACCTATCGCATGAGCCACAATTATAATTTCACAATCCCCCATGTTATGTTGCTTTCAAAAAAGGTTGATGGTTCGGGACGAGTAGAATGTATGAGAGACGGAGAGGAAACAATTGTCCGGAGAAAGAAAAATCTAAGGGAAAAGAATCGAAAAAGAGAGAAAATCGGGAAATGTAATCTCTAACCCAGGATTTAGGAGAATCAGAAAATGACCCTTTCTCTCAACAAATTCCGTTGCACCCGAAAGTAAATGATCTAGGGAGAATGAAGAGAGAAAACACGATTACGATGCAAGGAAGATGAAAATCGAATGACACGAAAGTCACCACTTTTAGGATTTTCCTTTTAGGTGAGGTTTGCTAACCAAAAGACAGATAATGTCAAAGGTTTCCACAATTTATTGTTTAAATCTTATTACACTTCAAACTTTCTCAATTAATTTTTTCTAATTTAATTCTTACTTCCTATTTTATTTCATTAATACAATTACATTAATTTTCTTAACTATATTTCCGTATTCCTTACGTATCAACACAATTTTCGTAAAAATTAATTTTATGAAATAAANGAAATTATATTGACGAGTAACAGTACTATTAATCATTTTTCAAAAAGAAAATTAAGTTTTCAGTCCAAAATCGTAGAAAATATACAGTTCTATTTCATGGTTTAATAGACCAACTTAACCAAAAGATGTTAGGTAAATTGAAGATATGAAGTCCTTAAATAACAATGACAGTGATTGAAAGATACACTAGACACTTACTTGCCACTGAGTGGAAGCTAGAAGCACCCTTGGTCGAATTGATTTCAAATAATCATATGCAGCATCAGGTGTCATCATTTTGTGGTGCACCTACAAGTTCAACAAATAAGAACAATGTTAGCCAGTGACAATACAAACGGATTTTCTTTTTATTTTGACCTTTTTCTACCCTCATTTTCAAGTTTTGAAACCAACCAGATAACAAATAACAATAGTTGTGCTGCGACCGCGTCCAGCTTTGCAATGCACATATGTAGTGCGTCCAGATATTGCATTTTCTTCATTAAAAAAGAAATGGAAAAGGTCAAAATAATTACAAACGATGTATTACCTTAATTATATATGAAGCGAAATTGTATGCCAAATTACTAACTGAGTTTTATAATTTCTAAACACAATCATTTTTTACCCCATTTTTTTCACTTGTAGGTGTCTCGTTTTTCAGTTCTTTTGGTTTTTTTGTGGAAGGAAGAAAGACTTCAAAATGCAGAAAGGGAATACAATATAAAAGAATAAGAAATGTTGAGCATGCAAATACTGAAATTAATTCATAATGCTCCCATTCTGTGGGTCACACTGCATGCAACATTTTACATATAACTTAAAATCAATAATCAATTTTGTCCCACATAAAGCAAGTAACATGAATATGCCACTGAAAGGCGAGAGATCATTATAGTTAATCATTTTTCATAATACTCACCATGTATGAAGTTCACAGCACGTCGTATGTCATGCAATGAAGGAGCAAAATAGTAATCTCTAGTAGGGATCACTAAGTGGTTAATTCCGTGAGTCTGTCAAGTTTAACAAGATGAAATTAAGAGAAAATTTTATACATAAAGTTTTGAAGTCACGAAGACACCAAAGATAAATAACCCATACAATTAAAATATAACACAATGTTGCACAAATAAGTATTGGACCCGAAATATCTTAAAGCACATTGCATAGTAGAACACAAAATGATTCACGGTAAAATTAATGTCACTTGTAAAAGATTTATATTCTAAACTTACCATAAAAGCCAAGATACACGCACAAGCATCAAACTAAAAAAATGCTGTAGGTTAATAGTAACAACAATGTTGCCCCTAATTCAGAAGTTGCTTCAGGATTTAGTATCTTGTAAACCATTCCAAGTATACTTGGTTCATTTAACCATAATATGTGTTTTATTTCATAGTCAATGTCTGAAAACCTTTTGGAAATTGCAAAGACAACAAAGGAAATTAATCATCACCAAATTTCTATGACAACAAAACCCTATGAACTTAACTCTCAAATTTCACAAGTTACAACTTTATAACTCCATATCATTCAGATATAGAATCAAGTAGTCAAAAGGATTTAGCTACAAAGGTAGGTACTACTACACAATAATGAAAGTCAACCTTTAATTAATACCATAACCAGAAATAAAAAGACATATCAAACTCACATAATATAATGTTGTCGGAACCAAAGTTTCATATGACTCATTCAATGTGATGACCCCACGAACACCAAGCTTCTTTAAGTGTGGAACATCAATAGGAAATGGAACAGCACCTAACAATATGAACTGAAAATTAAGTGCATAAAATTTAGGATCAACATTGAGTCCCACAAATAACAAAAGACAACTTAATATAGAACCAACTTTTAAAATGTCATACAGTTAAAAGAAAAACGAGACACCTCTCGACGCCAAAGTACAATCATTTAATAGCTTCAGAGTTCACATTATAGATGCAATGAGTTAAGAAGAGTTTGTATATTAAACATATAATCTTGTAAACCACAATACCCCTTCTCCATATATGGTAATGTTACCACAAGATATGATTTCCAGTCCATAAGTTGCATCACCATCTCAATAAAACCATAACAAACAAAAAATGATCAAGCACGGTCGACATATTCAATCAATGTTAATAAAAAGGACAAAGTTTAGACTTTCCCTCTGTAAGTGGATAATCATATACACATTTATAAATTTGTCAAAGTGCATGTAAAACATTCAAAATTGATGACATAGGCAAACCTGAGAGCAAAGCAACTAAACTTTACATTATACATGACAAAACTCAAGCATAAGAATCACATAAAAGGCTTATTTAGTAAATTTTGAAAGAAAATGGAATAATATTTTAACCCACAAGTATTTTTCCTTCTACATACATTAAATTTCTTGGATTTCATGTTTTTGTGACATAACTAAATTGAAGAGGAAAACAAACAGACACAAAATAACGTAATATGATACAATACGTAGTTAAGCTCAGAAGTAGATATCATACCTCATCAACCTTATCCCACCACCGAAAATCAGCCTCAATCTTATTCCTGACAACATTGTAAAAAAGGGTTGGGTAGAATAGCACACGAGCACCTGCTCCAACCAACACCCTCTTTGCATCATAACCCAGAAGCGTCAACCCTCTTTCCTCCTCACCTTCTTCTATGTCACCCCCCTTCAATTCTTCTATATGCATAACTCACTTCTAAAAATTACAGGATATCTAGGTGGTAAAAAAAACCTAATTAACAAATACCTATCGCATGAGCCACAATTATAATTTCACAATCCCCCATGTTATGTTGCTTTCAAAAAAGGTTGATGGTTCGGGACGAGTAGAATGAATGAGAGACGGAGAGGAAACAATTGTCCGGAGAAAGAAAAATCTAAGGGAAAAGAATCGAAAAAGAGAGAAAATCGGGAAATGTAATCTCTAACCCAGGATTTAGGAGAATCAGAAAATGACCCTTTCTCTCAACAAATTCCGTTGCACCCGAAAGTAAATGATCCAGGGAGAATGAAGAGAGAAAACACGATTACGATGCAAGGAAGATGAAAATCGAATGACACGAAAGTCACCACTTTTAGGATTTTCCTTTTAGGTGAGGTTTGCTAACCAAAAGACAGATAATGTCAAAGGTTTCCACAATTTATTGTTTAAATCTTATTACACTTCAAACTTTCTCAATTAATTTTTTCTAATTTAATTCTTACTTCCTATTTTATTTCATTAATACAATTACATTAATTTTCTTAACTATATTTCCGTATTCCTTACGTATCAACACAATTTTCGTAAAAATTAATTTTATGAAATAAAATGAATCGAATATATATTCATTTTATTGATTTTTCCCATTAAGATATCTAATTCTTATATGTTTTCTTTTACAAAATAACACGTGCTTAGCTAAAATAGTGTTATTGGAACCTTAGAATGTATATGTGGTCAACTTTAATTATTTCTTAACGTTTTTGTTGTGTTGGGAATATGTTTAAGGGGTTTTAATTTTAAAACCAATTGTAAATAAGAGTTGCGATTAAAAATCTTTTATGTTGGTTGAAAGACCTAACTAATTTTTTCTATAAACTTATTTTGAATACAATTTTTTCCAAATATAAATAGCTTAACTTAAAACTCAGTTTACTTTAATTCTGAAATTCCAAGGTAATCAAATTTTAAAAAACATTATTTTTAAATTGATTTAATCAATTTTTTTTCATAAATATTCAATCACATCCTTTAAAACCGATTTGTCAGTATAATTGATTTTTGTGACTCTATTTACTAAAATTTACCTAAAAATAGGATTTGCCCATGAAAAAATGGAAGCAAAATACAACTGATGCAGCCACATGATTGTATCTAATACGGTCGTTTTATCGAGATTGTTTTGGTATTTATATGTGTCGCTTAATATTCCTTATTGAGTTTTCTTGTTGTGGCGGTAAAGAGCATCTAACTCAACCCTTTTCTATTCTTAGAATTTGAAATATTCAAACGCAGCGGGATAGGAATCAGATTCATTGCCAAAAAACTCTTACAAATGTATTCCCACCCTCTCATGCAAAACTATGCTTCATTCATTCTTCATGACTAAACTAACATTCTATGTACAAACAAATGTTTTTTTGATTATGTTCAACCTAATTCTATCATACCTTTCATAAAATTAAACAAGTCAACGGCTAAGGATGTCTGACATAGATAAACCTACCTGTTATTTAAAAAGTTAATCGCCATTAAATAATTTATATGATCCACAAATTCCATAGTCATTCTCAACTTTCTTCATTATCTTTCACTTAAAAAGCCAAAATATTTGAAGACGATGGCAAATTATAGCAGCTTTTATAAAGTGGATAGTTACACTAATGAAACAAGTCACCATTCTTGAATCATCTAACATTTTTAGAACTTTCCTGTGTATGTGGGCATCATTAAACAAATCCCAAACTGAGATCAGCTAATTATTCCATGGAAAACGTTTCTTCAACAATGTAAATTTGATAACAATTTGACAACAACACGTTTAAAAAAGGTTAATTTTGTTTTTTAGGGTGTTTTTGGAAAGAAAAATGTTGAAACCTGTTGGCGCCTTTCACAAAGTGAAATTCATCCCTACAAACTCTCTCATCAATCTTTCGTTCTCCATTCGAAACTCTCGCTCCACCAACGAAGTGCTTTTTGTCCATCGCTGTGAAATTCGTTCTGGGGTCCATCGTTCTATCTGGACGAAGTCGTGTGTGTCGGTCCGCCATTGAAGTGCTGGGAGGAAGTCTCGCTTGGATCCACAGTTGACGTCATTTGTCGAAAGGTTTCGTTTTTTTGCCGTCGTCGTTGGTCCTTCATCGGTTGGGTGCGGTGGTCACTTTGTCAGCAGCGATTTTCGTTTTTTATCCAAAGGTATTGTTTATTCGCACATTGTATCATGTTTCGTTACTGTGGTTTTTTGGTTTGTCAATGGTTTCTTACTTTCTTTGTACTCTGTATTGTGGAATGGATGTGGTTACCTATTTTCCCCTTCCAACTTGCAAACTCTTTCTATGAATATTTCACTTTCCATGTCTTTAAAGTTGCTTTTAGGTTCAAGATCTTCCCATGCATAGGCTAGCTCATAGACTTTTTCTTCAAATAATGAGTCATTAACGGCAAAAATCTAGAGTCTAGTTGTTCCCTTGAGTAGTTCATGACTTAACTTCTCTTCCCTCACTTTAATTTGTAAATATTACATTATCGTTGTCTTCATATTGTTTCTAAATTCCAAAATGTTCATTTTAGGAGGACTTGGCTGCGTTTAGGAAGAAGTATATATTTGATTTGATCCTATATGAGGACAACGTCCGAAGATTTCAAACGCTGCAACATTTTGGATTACTATAGCATTAGAAATGTGTTCTTGGTTTAGATTCTTATTTTATAGCAAATGAATAGACATTGTACAGAATTATACTATTAAATTTTTTTTACAGAATTGTACATAATTATAGCAAATGAATACAGCTAAACTATTCTTGATTAATTATTCTTCATATTCATTTTCTTTGTCAGTGTTTTTGGTTGAGTGAGTTTATTCATTAACTTGTTGGGTCAAAACTGATGTGTCCCTGTACTGATGAGGAGTTGGACTGAAACAATAAGTTTACTAAATTGGTTGTTGTTGATTGCCTGGAAGTTCTGTTTTTGGAAGACAATTGTTCCCAGTTATGTGCATTGTAATCGATTACGAGTAGCATGTAATCGCTTACCAGTGAAAAATCACGAATTTGTACCAAAAGTGCAGCGTCACTCCCCTGCTGTGGAAGAAGAGCTCCCCATTGAGGGGTTGGAGAAGGGGTGTTACAATAATGGTCATGCAACTCACTTCAATTGGAGAAAACCACCTAAATGGACATTTTTTTTTTTGAAGAAATCAATGACCTAACCTCATTATTGGTGCAGGGAGCACACCCAATAACATTGAACTCACTCACCCATCTCAAAAAATGAAAAATTCAACAAAAAATAGAGCATGGGGAGTAGTGTTCATCTAGCTTGGGAGTACAGTTGAAGTTTTTGTATAAATTACCCTTTTTCCTCTAGTAATCGATTACAAGACCCTTGTAATCGATTACCAGAGGAAAAAGGGTTATTTTTACAGAAACTTCAACTGTACTCCCCATCTGGATGAACAACACTCTCCAACTCTGATTTTCTGACCTTTACTACTTGTTTTGTTCTTAACTTTCTCCACCGAACTCCAAAGGACTTGATTCTTGTTTTGTTGGAATCTAGACTCAAAGAAGTTCAAATAGGTGTCAAGTGCATCAAAACAATTTACCCCACTCAATTGTGGACAAAATAGTTCATATAGGTGTTTAAACCAAGGTAGGTGAAGTCCATATAAGTGTTTGGCTTGTGCTAGTAGAATCACATCACACCTTAATTATACTACTATTTTACCTTGATTACAAGTGCATCATTCTTGTGTCAATGGTGCAGGACCTCACCTCTCAACCTATAAACACCCTTAGTTGGTCTTCCATCCACATAGGACTGACCTAACTTGAAATTTCTTGTTGTGGACACCTTCAACCATGGCCAACAGGGATAATCAATCCACACAACATTGAAAACACACTCGTAAGGACCCCTGGACAGTGCTTAAGTCATGTCTGGGTAGCACTCTTCATCTTTCGGTACAAAAGGGATTTTTCTAAAAACATCCAAATTGCGTCTTCGAAATAATGGACTTGTGCTCCTCACTCAAAATTCCATTCAAAGTAGCAATACACTTTGTTTTCAATGATGACGAACAAACAACTACAAAAAAAAATTAATATTTGTTGGTACAAATAACCAACAAAAGTCACAACCCAAAAGCAAAAACCAGCAAAATGTCCAATAAAGGCCAAAAGCAAAAACTCAACCCCAAAATACGAATACGGAAACATGAAAAAGTTCATACCTTGTTCGAAGAACCATTGTCACCGGACGAACCCATTGCACAAAAAAGGTAACAACTTCGATAAAATCGACACCGAACGAGACACTTTCAACTGACCAACCACAAAGATCGCTGAACATATATCGTTGAAATCACGAACTCGAGAGACAATGAGAGACTTCAAGACCACCGACGACGGAACTTCCTCAACGTCCAGAGAGATTGCTCAACTTCACCAAATCTAGGGAGAGAATATCAAATGAAAAAAATGAAAACCTAAAATGGAGAGAGGAGAGAGTGTTTCGGAAGAAAGAGAGAGTGCTGAAAGGAAAAGGAAGGAGAGTGGTTTTGGAATAAGCAAATGTTCAACCGTGACCCCTTTTCCAAATCAGTTCTTTTTTTAAAAAATAATTTCAAAATGGACCAATACAACACTAACACGTAACATTGTCAAAACGTTCTTAAATTCGCGTTATTCCATCTACTTTTGCATCCATGTTGAGTCACTGCGTAACCTTTAAGGGAACATTTTGAGTCACTGCGTAAACTTTAAGAGAATCCAACAGCAGCCAAAAACAGTAGATAAGTATAAAGACCAACACTTAACAATTCTTTATATTAAAAACAATATACTAAATGAAATAAACCTTTAGTACAGTTTATAGATGACTTGGAATAAAGCGATGACAGTTTTAAAGAGCTAAAATTCTAAATATATTAAGAACTCACGTCTAAGTTTTGTCCAAGTGTGGAACTTGTCTTTTCTTTTGTCACATAAATCCAACAGGCTCCATCCAAATGAAAGGCATGGTAGGAGTAGAAGAGGGGAATCATGAGTGATTCCAACGCTAATAATTTGCACCTTGCATTTTGTAACAGTAGGTAGGCAAATCTATTCGATGCTCATGGACCCTCTGCATATGTTCCTCCAATTCTGCTTTAATGGACCATCACCTCAACAAATTGTTGTTTTCGTTTCACTCTCTTTACGATTACTTTTATTCCATCAACCTGTAGCACCACTGGGGGAAAATACTGGTCAAACCAATTAAAGCTCACTTGAGTTAAGCATATAGCTCCATGTGCCAATTTTTCACTGTTTCTTGGTCTTCATGTGAAATTTATAAGATATGCATCTCCACCTAAATTTAAGTTTCTAGAAACAAAGGGAAGCTAAGAAAGGTATCGGTTGAGTTTTTTTTGGTAGTGTGAGGGACCATGGCTCAAGTCTATTATCAGTTCACACTAAGAGAAAAGGAATCAACAGATCATGTTGGAGCCAACCAAATCAGTCTCAAGAGAAGATTGAAAACATCCACATAAATTAAAGTTTCAAGGGAAAACAAGTGAAGTTGGTTAAATTTTCAGGTTTTGGAATTTAATTTGTTACCAACATTTAATGAATAAAGAAGGATTAAAATTTGATATGGCAAGTTGGTAAATTTGACGTTATATATTAAGTGAGATTGCAGGAGGCAAAGCATATCTGTGATGGAACCGAAAGGGTTAAAAGGTAACACGGAAAAGGAATAAAGATAAGGCTACACTTGACATTTTGTCTTTGACGCTGCACCTTCATCTTTTCCTTAACCTCTTCTTCCAAGTAAACTCTCTTCTCCTTCTTCTCCATCTCTCACTACACATTCTCCCTTCCTTCTGCAATGGCTGCTGCAATCCACGCTACCAAGCAACAAAAGTTACCTCTTCAACAAAACCAACAAGACCCAAATAAATTCTATTACCATTTCCTCTACAAAGCGGCACTCTTTCTCATATTCTTCGTTATTCTCCCCCTGTTCCCCTCACAAGCTCCTCATTTCATCAACCAATCACTCCTCACCATAAACTGGGAACTCCTCCACCTTCTCTTCGTCGGTGTCGCCATCTCTTACGGCCTCTTCAGTCGCCGAAACCACGAGGCAGAGAAAGAGAATAACCACTCCAAGTTCGACACCGCCCAAACTCTTGTCTCTAAGTTCCTTCAGGTCTCTTCCTTCTTCGAGGACGAGGCTGAAAACCCTCCTGAGTCCGATGAAACCAAAGTCCAAACGTGGAGCAACCAACACCGCAGGAATGAACCTGTGGTTGTGGTTGCTCCACCGTTGAAAAAGCTTTCTAGTTTTGATGACCAGAGTGGGGACAAGCCCTTGCTTTTGCCCATTCGAAGCCTCAAGTCTCGCTTGTCTGATGATGATAAAGATGTTGATGTTCAATCTCTAAATAGGTCAATGAGTTCTAGAAGATTTTCAAGCACTTTGAATAGAAAAGGTGAAGTCGTGGAAGCTGATGGCGCGGGTGCTGCTGTTGATGTTCAATGTCTGAATAGGTCAAAAACCTTCAATAGATTTTCAAGTAATTCAAGTAAAAGTGCTGAATTTGTAGCGGGTGATGTTGATGATCAATCTCTAAATAGGTCATCGAGTTCCAAAAGGTTTTCGAGCAACTCGAATAGAAAAGCAGAAGTTGACGCCGATGATGTTGATGTTGGTGTTCAATCTCTAAATAGGTCAGCATCTTCTAAAAGATTTTCAAGCAATTCAAATAGAAATTCAGAAGTTGAAGGACCAAGAGCTGAGGACAAAAAGAAAGAGAGTGTGGTGCTTCCTTCTCCCATTCCATGGCGTTCTAGATCAGGAAGAATGGAACCTAAGCAAGAAGAAGTTGACGATGCATTTTCCCATCAATCTTCAAAGGAAGAATCCGAGTTCTCCAAGGTGGAATCTCGCCCACCGAAGCCTCAAACTTCACGTTCTTTTCGAGCAAGTTCCTTGTCTTCTTTATCGACAGAATCACTCGCCAAAAACTCAGAGGATTTAGTGCAGAAGGGATTCTACAAATCCTGTCCTCCCCCACCTCCACCACCCCCACCAATGATGTATCAGAAATCAGTGTCCATGAAGCCAAGGTACGGTGGTTCATTCATCGAACCCTCCTTCGATAAAGAGTTGAAGAGAAGCTTCACAAGTGAGAAAAACAAGCCAACGGGGAAAAAACTTGCTGAAGAAAAAAAATCCATGCAACTCACGTCGTTTAGAAGTGACAAGCTCACGGGACATGCAAGCGTGCCTCTGGTGACACAGGCAGTTGAGAAAGAAAGCTATCTTGACAAGGTACTTGTGGAATCTGATGAGGACGATGAAGAAGACACGGAAACCGAGGATGAAGATGTCGGAGGAGGAATCATGGTTGAGAACGAGGGAAAAGCGAAGGGTGGAGCTGTTATTGGTGGAGAAAGTTCAAAAACAGATAGTGGTTTCAGTGGAACAAGCGGTGATGAAGGACCAGATGTGGATAAGAAGGCTGATGAGTTCATTGCCAAGTTCAGAGAGCAGATAAGGCTTCAGAGAATTGAGTCTATCAAGAGGAGTACAAGGAATGCAAGAAACTCTTCAAGGTAAATAATATTGAAGATCCATATCCATATATCATATCCTTCTAAATGGGATGTAATTAAATTGACAAGGATGTTTCTTTCCACAGATTAAGGTTGTAATTGGATACTCCTTTCCTCTTCCCCATAAACAGTTATGGCATAGACAGATTTACTGATTTTACTTAAGCCTTGCAATATCTTCAATTTCTTAATTATGAGTTCTACTTTATGCGGATTTCTTGTTTGTACACGGTAATTGTAGTGAATTTAGTATTCACCTATTACAACTTACAGATGATGGTGGGAGACAATGGTTAATAGAGTATTTTTTTAACATTTTTTAAGTTTGTTTTACTGTTGATTAAATTTATTAGAAGTCATAGAAAACATTGAGTTTAAATCAGAAAATATGACGCAGTTAGGAGATTGATTGTTCACAGAAAGATGTGACGATTGCAAAAGCACAAAAGATGTTATCCTGTGATTAAAAAAGCTTTATTAATTGGTTATATGCACAGATTAATAGTCAAAACACCATTTAAAAAAAAAAAATCTTGTTTTCATTTAAATTTGTGACCATCATGGAGAAAAGTGGAACTGTGGCTTCATTCACTAACATTATAACTTGTCTCTGGCTGGGAGGTATTTGTCTTATGCTGGCAAGTACATCATAAAAGCGAATAAATAAAAGGATGTTATGGCTACAATTATTGTCGTTCTTTATTTTGGGCAGTTTACAAGTACAACACTGCATTGCCTCTCCTAGGAAATGAAAGTGTTTCACCAAATGGACACTGAAATTGAAGTTGTCCATCCATACAAATTAAGACAGTACTGTTCCGTCCTGTTTTCCAGCAATGTCGTTTAAGTTGGAGACTGACAGAACGAAATTACTATCTCGATTATGATACCTATGTCATCTCATAGTGTTTATTTTACATAATTAATTTGGAACAGAGTATTTGAAGACGAATTATTTCTTGTTTTTTTTAAGAAATTTAAAGATAAGTAAGAATAGAATTAGAAATAAAATATATAAAAATGAGTATATAATTTAATTGATATGATAAATAAAAAAATTATTTAATTAATAAAAAGTTAAAATTATCAAATTAATGTAAAAGTAATATAAAATTATAATTATTAATATTATATATAATTATAAAAATTATTATAAAAAAATAAAAATTAATTTTTAAGATAAAAAATTGTATAATTATTATTATTTTAAGAGAAAAAATATATGAAAATTATAAAATTTACCAAGGTCAAATATGAAAATTGGTCTAAATCCATACAAATCATCTCATTTATATTATGATTGAAAACATAATGAATTTCACAATTTTTTTTCTTTCTTGTTAAATTTTCACTCCATAATTATATATAGGAGTCAATTATATCACAACAAGAAGTTAATTTTGAGTGTACATAAACATATTTAATGGAAGTAAATCCTTATTGAATGCCCAGATCTTGATACATACACAATATATATATTAAACAATACTTACCAAAAATACTGTTAATTATTAATTATAGTGTATTTTGGAAAAAAAACTATTAACTAGAATTTAAACTTTTTAAATATCAATTATTTTGAGATTGAAAGATGATCAAAGAAAGAGTGTGTTAGGTGTTGTTTGTGCTGCTTTTTGAGAAGTAGTTTTATTTCTAAGCTTTGCATAGTAAAAATTTACTTTAAAAGGTTATGCAAATTCTACCAAAATGGAGCCTTGTGAACATAAGATTTAAACATATAAATATCAGAATGAGTTGACATAACTGAATTTTCTTTCTTTTAATAATTTACAACCATAAAAATAAATGAGTTAAAGAATCCCTTAAGAAAATAATAAATTTTCAATTTTCAATTAAAATATCTTAAATTACATTTTCTTCTTCATAAAAATAGTTAAAATATTTTTCTTAACAAATGTTTTCATGCTCAAGGCAACTACAATGGTAATGATACAAGTTGTTAGTTATTATAGCAGCCAATTATAATTCACTCCAAAATAATTATTTTTTATTGGTCACTACTGTTTGGATTAAAAAAAATTAATTCTTAAAGTCTTCTTTAAAGTGGATTAAGGTGAAAACTAAAGTCAGTTTTGACTCATTATAAGATTTTTCTTAATTTTCAAATCTTTGTTGCATTTAATTATGTTTTAAATCTCCAATAAATTTGGTAACTCTCAATAGTTGTGGCATGTTATTTTATAAAATTATAAAATTATAAATTATGATATTATAAAATTATGAAATTATAAAATTAATTATTTTATAAAATGTTTAAAAAAATTTATCAATGTCAAAAATTCTAATTCACTTTAACTGCTATCCATTTCACCACTTTAGGAAATTAGGATTGATATATTTCAGCTGGTTGCTTTGTGTGGCTGACTGTGAAGATGGAGGTATCTAGGTAGCTGTGTCGTTTTCCGACAAGCTCTGCCGTGACTTGGTTCAGATGCTGAGGTTGCGGGATTGGAGGAACAAGGTTTCTGGTAGGTGCCTTTTGGAACAGCATCATCGTGCATCCTGGCCTTCTTGGGTGGCGGGATGCATCTCTGATATGTTCCAGGCGCGGTTCCTATCTGTTTCTTTCTCGTGATGAAGGATGGTGACTGGTGACGTGCTATAATTTGGAGAAGATGATGCCATGCTGGTGCAAAGTTCTGGTGGGTTGCGTCTCCGACGAGACTTCACGCCTGGCTCCGGTGTGATCTCGTTTTGCTGGTTCGTCCTGGCTCGCGATTTGCGTCTTCCAGGTGCAGGAATGGAGTTGAACCCCACCTAGATTCATGGGTTGCGCCGATATGCGCTGTTCATGGGTTGCATCGAGGGTGCTATGTTGGCGATTCAGGGATGGGTTGGAGTGGAGGAGATGCTTCGTTGGCGGCTGTAAGTGGAGGAGGCAGTGTTTGATTGCTCAGTTTCATGAGTGATGGATGACAGATGGCATGTTTTGATTAAACAGATTTGAAAGTATAGTATATTGTAACATGGCATTATTTTGATTGGACTAATTGTTAGTAACAAGAGGGGTGAAGATAGAAAAATAAGGACATAGAACTACGTTTTCAGAGGCCCATTTTAAAAAGGTGTATAAAAAAATTTAGGGGGTAAAGTACTGATTATTTCAAATTATTTTCTTGTAGTTAGGAATAATTTATTTTCAANGTTATTCCATCTACTTTTGCATCCATGTTGAGTCACTGCGTAACCTTTAAGGGAACATTTTGAGTCACTGCGTAAACTTTAAGAGAATCCAACAGCAGCCAAAAACAGTAGATAAGTATAAAGACCAACACTTAACAATTCTTTATATTAAAAACAATATACTAAATGAAATAAACCTTTAGTACAGTTTATAGATGACTTGGAATAAAGCGATGACAGTTTTAAAGAGCTAAAATTCTAAATATATTAAGAACTCACGTCTAAGTTTTGTCCAAGTGTGGAACTTGTCTTTTCTTTTGTCACATAAATCCAACAGGCTCCATCCAAATGAAAGGCATGGTAGGAGTAGAAGAGGGGAATCATGAGTGATTCCAACGCTAATAATTTGCACCTTGCATTTTGTAACAGTAGGTAGGCAAATCTATTCGATGCTCATGGACCCTCTGCATATGTTCCTCCAATTCTGCTTTAATGGACCATCACCTCAACAAATTGTTGTTTTCGTTTCACTCTCTTTACGATTACTTTTATTCCATCAACCTGTAGCACCACTGGGGGAAAATACTGGTCAAACCAATTAAAGCTCACTTGAGTTAAGCATATAGCTCCATGTGCCAATTTTTCACTGTTTCTTGGTCTTCATGTGAAATTTATAAGATATGCATCTCCACCTAAATTTAAGTTTCTAGAAACAAAGGGAAGCTAAGAAAGGTATCGGTTGAGTTTTTTTTGGTAGTGTGAGGGACCATGGCTCAAGTCTATTATCAGTTCACACTAAGAGAAAAGGAATCAACAGATCATGTTGGAGCCAACCAAATCAGTCTCAAGAGAAGATTGAAAACATCCACATAAATTAAAGTTTCAAGGGAAAACAAGTGAAGTTGGTTAAATTTTCAGGTTTTGGAATTTAATTTGTTACCAACATTTAATGAATAAAGAAGGATTAAAATTTGATATGGCAAGTTGGTAAATTTGACGTTATATATTAAGTGAGATTGCAGGAGGCAAAGCATATCTGTGATGGAACCGAAAGGGTTAAAAGGTAACACGGAAAAGGAATAAAGATAAGGCTACACTTGACATTTTGTCTTTGACGCTGCACCTTCATCTTTTCCTTAACCTCTTCTTCCAAGTAAACTCTCTTCTCCTTCTTCTCCATCTCTCACTACACATTCTCCCTTCCTTCTGCAATGGCTGCTGCAATCCACGCTACCAAGCAACAAAAGTTACCTCTTCAACAAAACCAACAAGACCCAAATAAATTCTATTACCATTTCCTCTACAAAGCGGCACTCTTTCTCATATTCTTCGTTATTCTCCCCCTGTTCCCCTCACAAGCTCCTCATTTCATCAACCAATCACTCCTCACCAGAAACTGGGAACTCCTCCACCTTCTCTTCGTCGGTGTCGCCATCTCTTACGGCCTCTTCAGTCGCCGAAACCACGAGGCAGAGAAAGAGAATAACCACTCCAAGTTCGACACCGCCCAAACTCTTGTCTCTAAGTTCCTTCAGGTCTCTTCCTTCTTCGAGGACGAGGCTGAAAACCCTCCTGAGTCCGATGAAACCAAAGTCCAAACGTGGAGCAACCAACACCGCAGGAATGAACCTGTGGTTGTGGTTGCTCCACCGTTGAAAAAGCTTTCTAGTTTTGATGACCAGAGTGGGGACAAGCCCTTGCTTTTGCCCATTCGAAGCCTCAAGTCTCGCTTGTCTGATGATGATAAAGATGTTGATGTTCAATCTCTAAATAGGTCAATGAGTTCTAGAAGATTTTCAAGCACTTTGAATAGAAAAGGTGAAGTCGTGGAAGCTGATGGCGCGGGTGCTGCTGTTGATGTTCAATGTCTGAATAGGTCAAAAACCTTCAATAGATTTTCAAGTAATTCAAGTAAAAGTGCTGAATTTGTAGCGGGTGATGTTGATGATCAATCTCTAAATAGGTCATCGAGTTCCAAAAGGTTTTCGAGCAACTCGAATAGAAAAGCAGAAGTTG